TTTGTGTGAAAAGTGAAAATGAAAAACAATTATGTAAAAGATGTAGTAAGAGACTAATAAATTGAAATAGTAAATATTTAGAATAAAAATAAAGTTAAAAAAATTGTATGTAAAGAGTTACCCAATGTAATAAAAATGGTGTAATTTGTAACTCTTGATTATGGGTTTGGTTTATTTTGTTATTTTTCATGATAAATTTGTAAATTTTTTGGCAAAAGTTGTTTTTGTTACCACATTTCTTTATAATTGCATCATATTAAGATGCATTTTGCATCATATTAAGATGCATCAAAGGTCTTTAATATTTGTTCATTATCAAAGTCATGTCTCTTACTTTTTTCATCACATTCTTATCTGTATCCTTCATCCTTAAAGAAATTGTTCTTAATGAAGGGTTTCGTCTAAAAAATTTGTTAACGTGCTTTAAAACGAGGGACAAATATTTTTTTTTTCTTATTGAAAAATTCGATGGAAAAATAATTAGTTTTATTCTCTCTTAGCGGAATTTTGGGAAGAAAAATTAGTGACAAGATGTGCTAAATAATGAAAAATTGAGGATAAAGAAAAAGTTAGGAACATAAACTTGACAATATGTAAAGGTTACGAACATTTCATACAATTAAAATGTGATGTGATGTGATTATAAGAAAAATAAGAAATCGTGGTATGAATATATGTAGCATAGTGTAAAATGTAGTACGTAAACATAAATTTAGGAATGCTTAGACACTTTTTACAAAATTTCAAACAAAATATTATTATACATTAGCCCATATTATTCTTAATATATGACTTCGTTCATAGAGAAAAAAAAAATATTTTCTATAAAATATAAGAGATCATTAAAGACGATGCACACATTAATTTTTTTTAATATAAAAATACAAACTCATAAATCATAATTATTGTAAAAAGGAAAAAAATATTAGCAATGCAAGACATAAACAGTAAATTCATAATTTATTATTGCAATCATAACTAACTATGTACCATTTAAACTTATTATTATTTCAAGAAAAGAATAGAGTTTAAATTATTCAGAGTCCAACTACAGTTATATTAATTTATAAATGAAGTTATTACATAAGAATTTTTTATTTAAATTTGGATTTTGACAAATGATCCTGGTTGAATCAGTTACACAGTAAACCTAATATGCCTTAACAATTAACCACGGCGAATACGATTTCCATGCTTTAATTCAGTTTTTGAAATTTTATTATTTTTTGAAGTAAATAATTAGTAATTTCTCTTGCTTTTCATAGGTTACCCATTTCCCATCAAATATTGGCATTAAGTACAAGTTAGGATGTACCAGGTAAAATACGATATTTAATTTGATGAAAATTAGGTTTTTTCTTTCGTCGGAATTTTATTTATTTATTTATTACAAAATTTAAACTAAATTCCATAGATAAATATTTCGTGAATTGGATTTCATTGCGTGTGCTTAGGGTAGAAGTTTTGTATTTAAAGCTTTGATGATTTTTGTGTTTTTTTCAATAAAATTGAATTTTCTCTCAAGACTATACCAAATTTTAGGATATTCTACAAAAATTAACAAAGTTTTGATCCCCAAACTCTTAAAACCAACGAGTTTTTAGTGTGATGCTCATTATTTTATGCTTTTGTTGCATCAGTATGTCACCTCTTCAATGCACAAATCCAACATGCCACTGAGATTAAGAATCCTTGTAGCCTAGTCGTAAATCGAAAGGTCATTGGTTGTTTATTTTCTTGTTTTATGTTTGTATGCTCGAAGTCTTACTTTATATCCTCTTTAAAGTATTTTATATTTCCTTGTTCGTTTTAATAGGCTAAACCCATAAAATAAAAATACAATTTTGCCTCTGTTTGAGCCACATTAAAATTTTCATTTTCATTATTCTACTCATTTTCAATTACACATTTTTCAATAAAATAATATTTTCGATCACATAAATAACTTTTCATTCTTTTTCAACCACACATTCTCCATCAATCTTCTATTTCAAAATACATTTTTCAAAATAATGTGGTTCAAATACACCCGAATCATAGCGAAGAGTTGAATGGGATTATTCAAAGTTTGTTTGTTGAGGTTTATCAGTGTTTGTTAATGTGTTGCTAATATGGTTTCTTGGAAAGGTGAGATATATATATTATAGTTTTCACTATTTATAAAGACATTTTGGAGAAATGCATATCAATTTTCAGCTCTGCAAGTAAATGAATTGCTTTACAATTTACATTTTCTTGAAAGCTATTCCAAACCTCTCATTGCATGGTTCATCAAAGGTAAACCTATATATGGGTTATGGTTTCTTGTTATATAGCCCATGTTTGATATATAGATTAAAATCATATTTTTAGTAGATTTTGATAAAAGTTGAGAAAATGTATGGTTAAAATTAATTGTTGACTTTGACTTCAGATTAAAATCAAAATGAACAAGGGTCGATTACAAACAAAACAAAAAATTATATGTGAATTATTAGAGATGGAAATCCAGCAAACAAAGTCCCAGCTTTAAGTTGATAGATTTAGCTCCAATTTAAGCCACATTCTCATTTTCATTTTCATTTTCATTTTTCTACTAATTTTCAATAACACATTCTTCAATAAAATAATATTTTCCATCACATCAATAATTTTTCATTCTTTTTCAACCATATATTCACCCTCACATCTAAAAAAAAATGCATTCTTTCCATTTTAATGTACATCATACACACTTAGCGACTAGAATCCCAGAGATGAATTTTAGAGTGCGTACGTTTTAGCAACGATTTTTTCCCTTGCAATGCTCAAAATGTTTATATGTATACATATATTTATTGATTCCATAAAGTTTATTCAGTTTATTATTAGGAAAACTCCATTAGTTTGAATCTTTGATTAGACATATTCTAGTGAACAGGCACATCACCAGTTTACCACTGCTAAATTAAGGTTTAGAGATACCGATTTTTCACCTACTACTGGAGATGTCTTGTTTAGCTGATAAAAGATGATGTTAATGGATAAGCTTATTTTAGAAAAAAATTTCGAGAAGTGTTTGATTTCGTGGGGTATGGAATAATCAATAGTGAATAATTCACATTTATATATTCATTGCATTAAAACATGCGAAGTTTGTTTTTGACTTGCCATCTGTATGAAGAAACATACATTTTGGCTATCAAATATCTGTTAATATTTTACTTACAATGGAAATTTTAGCGAAATCGACTAGGATTTATTTGTTACTAAACTCAGTTTTATAAAACTAAAATTCTTGGAACTTATCAATTTGAGCCGTATTTTTTTGGAGAAAAATGCTGCAAGTACAGGGAATAACTCACATATTTTTAACAGGAATTTGAATGGTAACATCATGTCCGTCTGTGTTGTTTTCCCTCTTCCCATTTTGAATATATTCCCTCCATTTCAAATTTCTGTACCTATTCTGTATAATTTTCCTGTACTTATAGCAAGATTCTTTTTTGGATTAACAGTTTTTGGAATAGTGATTTTTTGGAGAATATGTGATTAAGTTGAAAATTTTTTGGGTTTACGCGTAAAAATATCTTATTATAAATGTATGGTTGGAAACGAGTTTGGAAATTTTTTGATTAGTATCCTTTTGAGTATGTTTTACTCAAATATATCGAAAGTGCCATATTATCTTGTCTTCCGTAGAAATTTTTCAAAAAAGGTGGCACATGAACATTTCTAAATGTGCGGACAATTTTTCTTACTAGTAAAATTCCAATTTTTCTTTATACTTTTAAACATAGAGATAACCCTTCAAAGAATTAAAAAAATAAAAAAAATAAAAAGATGAAAGAAAAGATCTGCTGAAACTGTCAACGAAATCCATTAAACCTTTACTCTTCTTTCATCCCTTTTAACAATCAAGTTTGACTATTTATATATAATCCAAGACATCTATAATAACAAGCCTCTAATTCCCCATTACGTACTTGAAATGTGCTTGTAAGCTTTCCAGTTTTAAACCATACAACCATTCAAATCTTCCTCAACAACTGATCACGTTAAACTTTTTCTCTTCCTCTTCCTCTCTTTGAATTCAAGGTACATATTATTTCTTGATATATAATATTTATGATCTTATTCTTCCTTTTTAATGCATATTTTATAGTTATTCATAACCTCCTTTTTTGCTCTGTTAATTCAATATGTATGAAAGGAATTTCATCCTGTTTAGCTGTATTCATAATATGATTGTTAGGGAAAATGAATTTTCCCAGTTTTTCATCTATGAATTACAAAGAAAAGGACTCTCTTAAATAATTTTCATAATATTCTCTCTCTTTTTTTTTTCTTTCTTCATATCAGTATGTCGAATCTTGACAAGCTAATGCAGATTTTATTTCTGAAGCAAGATTACTGGTGAAGCTATTGATTCTCTCATTTATATTTTTGAGGCATTGGAGATACAAAAGATACAAATGAAGATTGAAGACAGAGATCAATATTTTTTTGTCGTAAAATTCCATTAATCGCTTAGTTATGAAAAACAGCGTTGAACATAAAAGGTTTTAACTATTCTTTTAATATGATGAACTTTTTAAGATGAAATCTCAAAACTGTGTATGGTATTGAACCCATAATACTTGGTACAATCTATTTTATAGAAAGATCAAATGAGCAAAAGATTAAGAGTAAATTTTATTGCTTAAATATGAAAAATAATAATCAATATATAAAGACTTGAAATACCCTTCTCTATGGTCTCACCTTCTAAAATAGAATTTCAAAATTTAACGATATTCTGTTGTCAACAACTAAGCTTTATTTTCAATAAATTGAGACAATAAAATAAACTAATCATCAACCAATTTTAGTAAAAAAAAAGGGTTGTTTCTTCTCCTACATGTGAGTTCATTCTGTAGATGGGGTAAAACCAACTAAACTTCTGCAAATTTCTTCTCTCAACCAACCATTTTTTATTCCCTAGGTGTTATGATTTCTTCATTTTTCTGAGGTTAGAAAATTTTCAGTTGACAGGGTGCTTGATGGAGGAAATAGGAGGTGGCTCTAGTGATGAAGCAAGGAATTGTCATAGAGGGCACTGGAGGCCAGCTGAAGACGAGAAACTCCGGCAGCTTGTCGAGCAATATGGCCCTCAAAATTGGAATTCCATTGCTGAAAAACTTCAAGGAAGATCAGGTATGTATATAAATGTTACTATGTTATTTTCGATTTTCTGACAATTATTTAGCTACTAATGTTTTAGAAATTAGGGTTCCTTGTTTTCTTCCATAATCCAACTTGCATAACAGCTAACCTTTACATATGTATATTATAATCACAATATATATATGTTAGTTAATTAAGACTTGTTAGAAGAATATTATGAATAAATTTGAAATAGACGTTAAACTTTTAAATGAGACCCTATGATAACACTGGTTTGATCGAGTTCAATTAACGAAAATTTCAATAAGATCTTTCATGTATTTTTTTCCTGATCCGTACATATACATATGTGCAACCAAGATCCTCCCATTTTTAATAGTTTAAATTTTCAGACAAAAAAGTTCAATATATGTTTCTATCATCTCTCGGAGGTTACTATCCACTTTCAAAGGATTCAGTATATTTAGACAATATCATTCTATTGAACACAACTTGTAGAAGTTTAAGTTATTAGATAGATGAATGATTATGTCTTCAATGCGATGAGAGTTGTACTCGACACATTTGACTCCTCTCATATTATATTTTTCACTAGCTCAACATGTTAGACAAAGAATATACTTATTTGTTTAAATTATATGTTCAACATGCACAGGTAAAAGTTGCAGATTGAGATGGTTTAATCAGCTCAACCCAGGAATAAACAGAAGGCCATTTACTGAAGAAGAGGAAGATAGGCTTCTTAGAGCTCATAGAATACATGGAAATAAGTGGGCACTTATATCTAGATTTTTTCCAGGTAGAACAGACAATGCTGTTAAGAATCATTGGCATGTCATTATGGCCAGAAAACAAAGAGAACAATCCAAGATTTCTGGTAAGAAAATTTATCAAGAATTTGCAACTAATGACTCCAAATCTCATTCCAATGTTGTTGGACAAAATAATTCTAGATTCCCAAACAGTGGGATTCTTGAATTCCATAAACAAAACGAAGATAAAATCTTTACTCTTTCATCCTCCTCTGGTTCATACATGTCGTTGCCCTCTACAAGCCTTTTGACGACGTATAATTTATCTTCTGCTGCTGATATTACTACAAGAAAAGGTAGTAATCAGTACAGTTTTAGCTCTGGCAGTTCATTCCACGGACATTCTGCTGTCTCAAATTCCTTCGGTTATTTGGATAGTCCTTTTGTCAGTAAAAAACATGGGATAATCAATAAAGAATTTATGCAAAATGGTGCTAAGACAGGGAAAACAATTGCGCACCCAGAAGAGGAATCAATCCAAAAGAAAAATCTTCCCTTCATAGATTTTCTTGGTGTGGGAGTCTCATCTTGATCACTCTATTATTTGAATTTTTTCTCTTCAATTTGTATGTATTATTAGCATCAAAATTTTATCTTTTGTATCATGATAGTGTATTAAAAGTCCAAGTTTAAGTTAGATGATAGTTTAGCAGTTTCAGTTTTAAATTTCTTGATGGTGAAATATAGTAATATTATTTCTTCCAACTGCAAATATTTTAAGTGCTTGAATGAGTTGGTTCTACATTGTATTTTAGTAGACAAAGCAAGTGTTCAAGTCCTCCTACTATTAATGCATCATAAAACAAACTGTCATATGTATGTCACATAGGACGATTATTGATAGTCCTCACTATGAATCTTTATGTATATTTGACTAAATACTTTAGGTGTACTGTGTAAAGAGGTGTGTTAAAAACTCACCACTTCATTCCTTAAAAAGATTGGCTCATTCCCGTCATTCATTAACTTCGTATGTATGTACAGACGAGATAATTCACTCTGTTCTGTAGTAGAAGTAATTGCAGGAAATCTTTTCATAACCTACTCAATGATAATTCACAGTGAAGACAATTGGTTAAATCTCGTGAAACTATTTATTAGAAGACATTCATTTATCTTCTTTGTACAAAATTTGGGAATCAGGATCATCCCCTATTGGTATGTACTATTAAACCTCATCTCCTAAAAATTTCACTATAACGATTTTTATGAATTTTTCACGGTGAACTTGATTTTACCAAAATAAACTCCCGAGTCATTTAAGGTGGCGGAGAAATCAGTGATAATGTACTTGATTTAAATTAGAAAATAGTTATTTTTAAATTATTAACCGATATCATTGAGCACAAACACTTATCAGTTTATTAATGCTAAAAAGTTAATCATGAAGATTTTAGAAGAATGTAAGACCTTATCTCCACTTTGGCGAAAATAAAAAGCTTACGAATTATACGAGAAATACAGTAAAAAGATATATCTCTAACTCTAAAATGCTAATCAACAGAAAGACACCATCGTCAAACATTTTATAGATATTTGACATATATCGATTCTAATGCTAGTTAGTCAAAATTTCTAATCTTCCAAAGCATCTACCCCATAGCTGCCCATCGCAGTCGATTACTATAGCTGCCATATTGCACAACCACCACCGTTAGATGCCTTCTCCATCATACCATCACCGCCACTTCCACCTCCAAAATCTGTACCTTATTTTTGGTTTTAAGAGATAAATTTCAAATCGACTAATTATGAAAATATAAACATATCGCGGAAGCTCACTCCAAGATATTCGATACAGTAATTTTCGGGCTCGGCTCAGTTTCACGTTACTTTTCTCTACCGAACAACCAATATAAACAGTTTCGACCCATTACCAATATATGTACCTTAGTTGCTTCTCAATCTCACCCACAAAAAGACAAGATAACGGTGTAGATTTGTGGCCACTGAGGTAAGAAGAAAACAACAAAAGAGAAGGCACAAGATGAGACCTAAATATACAAAGGAGCAGCCACTTTTTCTTCACTATGGCAATCGGTTTTTCTCCTCCAAAGCAGCAACGTTTTTCACTCTAGTGCACAAATCACACACCACAAAACCGGATAGGGTAAGTAACACATATCTCCTCTCATCGCTCACCGTGCTCACTAAACTGATCACTTAACTCACGACTCACTGGTAAACCAAAATAGTTCCTCACTACACGGAATAATCCTCTATCACTACATCACTTCTTCCAATCTAAGTGAATAATGGGTTTCTACCTAATAGAAGTGATAGATGCGTCTCTCTCACACTCCACATAATCTCGGTCTTCTCAGATAAATGATTCAAACATTTAATCACATCTCTATTCATGATCTAAATATCACACTCTACATTCTCGGTACATATCACTAATGTACCCCTATGCGTCTATACTCCACATCACCAATAGATACACAACACACTTATTGTTAATACATCACAGCCCACTATGCATGTAAATACATTACACCAAGTAATCAAATTACTCTCAAATTCATGTAAGTGCATATATCAAACATATTGAAATGTCATGTAACCATGCAATAGAATTAAGTAATCACATACATGAATAAATGATTACACACAGGTGCACATACAGTAACTAGGTTTACTCTCAATAAACCTCACTAGGATCATCACTCGACCTAATAGCCACTTCGCCCACCTCTCATCTTACCATTCTGCTTATCCTTCTTCTAGGAATAGTCATTCACAAAGTGTCCAGACTTATCACAGCTGTAATACTGGTTACTACTAGAGTTGTCCCAACCTTTGCATCACTCAAGTCATTACTAGAGTTATTACTGTCTTGAGCTCTACCCAAACTTATCTGCTTAAATTTCATTGTATCCTCATCATATGTAACTCACCACTCTTCTTATCCTCTTTTTTAGTCGTAATCTCTATTTCTTTACTTCTAATAGAATCAATGGCAATCTCAAGTATTAAAGTGTATCTACCATACTTAATCACATTTTTAACTTCTCTATATAAATCTCGCATAAAATTAAGCAAAATAAAGGCCTTATATGTTTAGTTTGTTAAAAATATCCAGATTGTCATCAAGATCCTCTAAAGGTTCTATTTTAAAACTAAAAAAATCTTTTGAGCATGTAAAACTTATTAGGAGTAGACTTAAAACAAATACAAGTCTTCTAACTTTTTTCAATGTTCTTTTTGTGGTAGCAAGTTTGTTGCTGTTCTAAAAACAAAGTCAGATATGTGTAAAAATTGAAGTGTAAGCAAGTTCATCATATTTTGTTTTTTGTGCTTTTGTCAAATCAGTGGGAAAATTGCCATCTATGTCTTTTGAAACTTTTTGTTGGACCAAAATTCCCTTCACCTTTTGTTGCCAAATTGAAAAATCGTCTTTTCCATTAAAAAACCCAATTTGTGAAGATATTTTGAAAAACAGAATAACCAAAGTGTACAAATAGACTATACAAAGTAATTCTAAGGGCGCAATATACACAATTTTAGATTTCTAGGGTTTTGTGAGATTCGAGATCTCAGTTTCAAGGAAATGTTCAAACATGTCAAGTCTAGGTTTTCTAAAGAATAATTAATGCAACATGGAGTTATATCAACAAAAAATTCAAATTCTCAAGCAATGCAGTCTCACACAATCACAAAATGAAGTTAAAGCACAAAAAATAATTATCAACTTGTAATCAAAACCAACACTTCAAATGTGTTAAATAATTCATAAATTCTAGCACAAGTAATGGTTACCTTACACGATAATCCAAATTCTAATGTCACCCCATACGATGACCCGCTGATGCTGAAATTTAAATGGGATAAGCCAATATACCAAAGTAGATCAATCTAAGTCTGTAAAAAATGAGAGATACAAATTTACCAAGCTTTAGGGCTACCACTATTCACCCTAATGCTCCAGCAACTGCCGCAATTAATTAAACATGATCGAACCCCAAATATACAAATGGCCAAATCGTCTAAATTCCAGTATATAACCTGAAACAGAAATCTAACAACACCAAAATATCAGTAACAAACTGCCGAAGACACAATCATCGAAAAATGCCACACGCACTGTCTTCAGGACCGCCTCGGCTTGCACGTCATGCCGGTGGTTTTTGTTTCACCAAAATTCTTCTGGTTTGACCGAAAATTACAAAATTAGCCTCTTTTTTTTAAACAGGCTTTGGTTTGTTTTTTCGATAAGTTTTCTGCTTCGATTCTGTCACTTTTCTGGTAAATTGTTGTCAGATTTTTTAGCCAAATCCACCACTTTGAAGCTCTGATACCAATAGTCGCGGAAGCTCGCTCCATGATCTTCGCAATGATAATTTTTAGGCTCAGTTTCACGTTACCTTATTTTTACCAAACAACCAATCCAACAACTTCGACCCACAACTAATATATTCATCTCGGTTTCTTCTCAATCTCAAACACAAAGGACAAGATAACACTGTAGGTTTGTAGTTACAAAGGCAAGATGAAAAAGAACGAAAAAGAAGGTACAAGAGGAGACCAAAATAAACAAATGAGTAGTCACTTTTTCTTCACTATGGGTCGTGGATAATTTTAATTTCTTAAGCTACTTCCAGTGGTCCATGTTGTTTTTAGGTTGAGCCTTTGGACTTGATTGTTGGTAATTCATTCACCGTTGGCCGAGGCCTCTGAAACTATATTCCAATGCTTTACATTGTAACTTAAGATTTATTGGGTATAAAAAAACTCAACAAAAAAATATATAAAGGTTTTGATTACTATTCTTAATAAGACGACATTTTATGATGTAACACCGAGTCTTAATATATTACGTGTGCCCATTAAGCTCAAATGAGCAGTTTGAGCGGATTAAGACTAAAAAAAATGAGCATACAAATTTCAAAATTAGTTTATTAAAAAAGCCATCATTTTGTGGGAACATGTTAAGGGATAATCTCATATCAACTAATTTGCAGGGTGCACAATATAAAACTATTCGAATGAAGGTTGAACAATAGAAGGGATGGGGAACCCATCGTAACTGTCATTACTTGAATCTAAATATTCTTCAATTTTTTTGTCAAAGATTGGAGGACCATCGTAAGTGAAATCCAAATATTATTCTACCTTTGAATTATTGAAATGAGTAAAACGGGTTTCGTCCCAAAACAGAAATTCTAATATTGACTTTTACAAATACCTATTCGTCTCTATCATGAATAAACCTCGCTCTGATACCAATTGATGTAGGGTGGCCAAAGCGTAGAAACGGTGAACGAAATATTATTGAAATTTTGTTGATTCCAAAGGAATATGATAAGTTTCTATTGATTTCTAAGAATATTATAGCCATACTCTGGCTTGATAGTTTCCATCACGTGTCCAAGGTTGAGCCTTAGGATTTGACGACAAACTTAAAAAGTCACCTATGGATGCTTTAAGTCCTATCACTTTGGATAATGCTTAAATCCTCTATCTTAGTGTGGTTGCAGAGAAAAAGTTAGTTGATGCTTATTCCCTAAATATCGTCATTGCTTTTTCTTT